CCTGCTTTCCAGCTCCGTTCTCCTGTGCAGGGCAACAAAAGAAGACCCAGTGGATCAGCTGGGACTCAGGAGGCAGAAAATAGATGAGGGCGGGGCCAGTCAGAGGTGGTATTTACCAGTTCTCTGAACTACTCTAAATTTCCGCTACTGGTTCTCCAGAACTGGTCAGAACCTGCTGAATACCACCTCTGCTCTCTATCCCCATCATTTATTTTGAGATCTATCCCTTCATAGGGTAATGTGGGAGTTGACAAACTAGTACCATGATGTCATCAGATTTATTTGTTTATTTTTCTCATTTCTGTACCACCCAACTCCCTCAAGAGGGACTGTGGGCGGTGTACAATAAAATGTTAAAATATAAAACGATACACCTAAAAGTTAAAAATTCTAAGGAAAGAGGAAAGAGATTACAATTAGTTAAAAGTCGAATGGGGTCTAAAATTTCCATTCCCACCCCACTCCAAGGGAAGGATACTGCAAAATCCTATGGGGGTCTAACCAGCCCCACAGCTACAGTATATGCCCCACAGCTGCAGAAAATTCCATAGAGCAGGGCAATGGCAGAGAAGACCCTCTTCCTAGTTCCCACCAGTTGGAATTCTTTAACTGACAAGGTCTGCAGTATAACCTCCCTGCCTGACTCGGTGGGACAGGCTGGTGTAATGGGATGAAGAAGGCTTCACATGTAGCCTGGCCCAATGCCATGTAGGGCTTTATACTGTCAGTCACAACCAACGTGATCATGCGCTTTACAGCTGTCACAACTTACAACCGTAATTGCCAGGCTCATTCAGTACAGTCAAAACTCTACGTTGGCATTTATTTTAGTTCAAGGAGCTATCAATTACTATAACTGTTAAGCAATAAAAAGGACATTTATTCCGGGCACAAGAAAGAATGCTAGGGTGGACTGTGAAGCAAGGGCAAGAAAGAATGAATATATTAATTCCATCTAAAGCCCTCTGGAGCCAGAACCTTGAATAAAATTTTCAGTTGGATGTATATTCAATCAATAATGCCTTTGTTAGTTTAGGTAAGATTATATTAAACTCCAGCAGTCTATATCTATGACCAAATGGCCTCTCAGTCTCTTGGGTTTTCTTTCTTTCTTCTTTCTTTTTCTTTCTTTCTTTCTTTCTTTCTTTCTTTCTTTCTTTCTTTCTTTCTTTCTTTCTTTCTTTCCTCTTTCTTTCTTTCTTCTTTCTTTCTTTCTTTCTTCTTTCTTTTTTTCCTCTCTCTCTCCCTCCCTCCCTATATCTATCATCTATGTATAGCATCCATCTCACCTACAGTAGATGACTCTGAACAGTTTACAATAAAAAAAGTCACAAGATATAAAAGCATAAATAAGAACCAAGTTAAAAGACAGAATTAAAAGATAGGCTAATGGTACTAAAAGTTAAAAGGCTGTAAAGGTAGAAAGAACATTTTCATTACACCTACTAATTACATTTCCCATTGTTCACTCTCTAACTCTAACTGTAGTAGGCTGGCTTGGGTGCAGACGGGTGCCGATTGCAGTCCAAGACATCTAAATGGCAGTATAATAGTCCTACCCTCTTCTCCTCCACTCTTATTTACCATAACTGTTGTTAGCCATGACATCTAAATAATGCAATTTACAGTTATCTCTAGCAATTGGAATTAAAGGTATATTTCAGAGTTTGAGTTCTAATTTTGCTCTGGAGATGAGCAGTGATTCATATTAATCTTGTGGATGGTTATCATGAGAATGAAATGACTGCTAATATAATGGACCAGCCCATGTAAGGAGCAGAAAGTAATCCATAAACTAGCCATATGCCCAAAGCCAGAAGTATGATTTGATTATGATAGATGGATTGGATCAGAATATCCCCATTCACACAGAGTTAAGCCTTTAAGTCAGAATGAATTATCTTCTATATAGCTCAGCAGTTCCTTTGCAGAAAATACAAAAACTGATGTTCATAAAGATCTCTTGTTATTAGTAAAATTCAGAGGCACTCTAACCTTGGAATGCAGTATATACAAGAAAACTTCTCTTAGATATGAAAACAGTACAGTTACTATGTTTTGGTGCTGGTTTGCTCTGCACACTGAATTAAAAGCCAGGTAAGCAAACATAATTCTCTGGATGCGCAGCATGCTATGTCCAAATGCTTGATGGCACAGTTCATTCAACAAGCTATGGCAATGACTTGATCAAGGTTGGGGGTTGAGTGTGCTGAACCACACTCAACCCCCAACCCAAACCTATTTCAGGCTTGCCTAACAGGCTTTTCAAACCTAGTCAGCATTTGTGGAACTAAAACCTGATAGTCATCCAAAGGAATGGACTACAACTGCACCATCCCAGACAACCGGCCTTACTGATTACGGGTGGCATCTCCCAGCATGACACTAAATATAAATGATGCAGAAACAGAATCCTACATTCATAAACAGCAGAATGTTCCCAGATTCAACATGACTAAATAAGCTGCTTTATAGCTGTCTTATACATGGGGGTCCCCAACTCCTGGTCCCTGAATCGGCACCCATCCGCACCATGCCAGAAACCGGGCCGCGCAAACAAGCAAAGCCCCATCTGTGGGATATAGGAAGCACATGAAACCACACTCCCTCTGGTCCATGGAAAAACCTCTCTCCACTGAACCGGTCCCTGGTGCCCAAAAGGTTGGAGTGGGCACTGATGTAGCAGATCTGCCTACTACAGAATAGTATATATTGACAGACTCAAATGTTAAAACCTGGTGCTTTTCTCCCATCCTTTTAAGTCAAAAGACTTTGGGCCATTCTTTATTCCCAGCCTTAAGGTCAGAAACTATGTGTTCTATGTTCACATAAAAATCCTGTCTTCTCTGACAATCAATGACTCCCAACTCATCAGCTTCAGCCCTTACAAACTGGGACTTAAGAGTCCCAATAACAATGCAGGGTCACAAGTTGCCATTTCTGAGACAACAGAAGGCATTCACTTTCCTATCAAATAGGGACACAAGTCCCACATGCTCATCCTTCATGGAACAATGGCTACCTAAAGCCAACGGCACAGTTTTGTCCCATTTTATTATGGAAATTATAAAAAAAAACTAAGCTGTACATCTTAATGGTTATGTAATGAATAAATCACTCCGTACTGCTCCCAAATGTTTCCACTCCCCATCCATATGTGATATTGGTCCCATCCACTCTGACACCCTCAGCCAAAATATTAGGTTCAACTGGTAGCCATCAAAAGGTTGCCTACCTCAACCTAGCATCAGGGGATGCCCAAGGAAGTCTGTGTGTCACACAAGAAAACCTCATTAAGAAAATTATTCAAGATAATCTATCCATTTTCTCCCTCAGACATAGAACAAATAAACTGGGGATTACCATTTAAAAGAGGTTATAATTTTAAACTCAACTGGTCTTGAAACAGAGATTCTTTTTTTAAAATCTATGCAATTCCTTTCCCCTATTCTTCCCTTATTTATTATTGGCTACCTCCCAAGGCAATCTTAGCTTTGCCTCACAAACATGTTCTAGTTCTTCGTATGTTATAAATTTACATCATTCTGACGATGAGAATTGTCTATCTCTATCAAGAACAGGCAGACATGAACTAATCCAAGCCCCATGAAAGTGTCAGGAAGCAAAAAAGCTTCATTTGTTTGGAATACTAAAAATAACCACAGTGCATACCATTGAAATAAAACTAATCAACTTGGATGGGTTTCCAAATCCTTCCCTCTTCATGTTCCTCTCTCAAGTAATCCAAACCGGGCATAAGTTCCTTGGAGATTTTCCCACTGAGACTTGAAATGGCTCCGCACAATCATTTCTCACTACTGAGGATTTTCACAGGAAAAGAAAGAAATGAAGCTATATTATTTCCAGTTCCACACAAAAAGATTCCTGGGAGTATACAAAGGGCTGTTTTAAAAAGATCTTTTTCTTAGAGATTTAACAATACTCCTGACCAGCTCACAAATACTATACTTCCCCAACCAAAGGTGCACTTTTCTCACCGCCAGGATCAGAAGAAGACACTTTAGTCATAAATAGAGAAGCTTTGCCTTCATCCCTATGCAAAGAAAGGAACTCCACAAGAGTTAGCCTTTCCAGCCCAGCATTCCTGCCTTGCTCCAGGATAGCTGGATCAACAGTTTCTCTTGCACTTTGCCAGGTGCGCGCACACACAGAGACACACACAGAGACACACAGAGAGAGAGGGGGGGGGGGAGAGGGAGAGGGAACAGAACATCTACCACAGTGCAAAAATGTTTGGGCTCTTCCATTCTGTTAAGCTGAGTTCAAGGACTGAAAAGGGAAAAAGCAGGACATTGATTTTGCTGCCATCCCATCTTTTCTTCTGGTGAGGATGCATCTGTGGGCTGCGATCAGTATTTCAGTATTTTAGTGCTGCTTCCAAAAATCAGGCTTCCATTTTGCCCCTTTCCCAAGCACCAACTAGCCCCACGGGATTTTCGGAAGAATCTCCTTACAAGCTACCCTCCATCATGACAGATGCTCTTTAATCAAAGCCACTGTGCTGAAGAAAATGGATGACCCTTTCTGTCACGCCATCCCTGCCCACAGAAACTCCCAAAACAAAAGCACCCAGGCGGAGACTTCCTCTTCTTCCACTGGATGCATTGGTGCCCCGCGGGCGTTTTCTAACTAGGACTTGTATTCTGAGGGTGGGCTAAGATTTATAGCGTTGCGATCCGTTTCCAATTCAGGCCAGGGCCGACCCAGCTATTCCGAACATGTGCAGAGTACTCTTCTCTTACAATGCCCGATTCAGCCCCACCCACCCACCCAGCCGATGTGGAGAAGGGATTAGGAAGCCTCAGGGCGCTTGAACCAACGATCTGTTCACATACACACACACACACACACACACCACATTAGGATGCTGGATCTGAAGGACCCCTTCTGTCGCTCTCGCCCCCCTTCCAAGGAAGGAGACCTTGGCGAAAAGGGTTATTCTGGCCGGGATGCGTGCGGCGCCCTCCAAGCCAGCTCACCTGTTAAACACTTTACGGATCTTCTGGCGCACACTGGAGGAAGGCGGGGCAGAGATGCAGCTCCGGCCGCCGCCGCCGCCGCCGCCGCCGATGCCCTCGGGAGGCAGATTCTCAATGGTCGCCACGACATGATTGGGCTGCTGATGTTGCTGCTGCTGCTGCTGCTGCTGCTGATCCGGAGAGATCATCGCGGTAGGGCTGGCGATCAGAAGAGAGCAGCAGGGCGCATCGTGCGCCGCCCGGCCGCCGAGGCGAGAATCCCGCGGAGGATCCAGAGAAAGAGCCCGCGGGGTTGGCTGCGGGGGCTCGCGCGCTTCTCTTTGGGGCTCCAGCTCCAGCCGCCGCCGCCGCCGCCGCACGCCTCAGAGCTGCTCGGCCATGGAATGAAGGGGGTGGGGTTTTTGTTTTTTTTTTGAGGGGGAGGGGGGGTTTCCTTCAGTTGCTCCTTTCTCAGCAGCAGCAGCAGCAAGTGTCCGCCAGCCAGGGGTGCGGCGAGCAACCGGAGTGATGGCAGCCGCGGGCAGTCGAGGGGGGCTGCCTGGCTCTTCTTTTGTCTCTCCTCAGCCCAGCCCAACCCAGCCCAACCCAGCCGGCGTCTAGCTCTCGCTCTCTCCTTCTGGGCGAGGCGCGATCAGGTGCAGCGCTTCGCTCGGCGCTGTCTGCACAGCCCGGACGAAGGAGCCGCCTCTGCGCGCGCACGAAACAGGGGAGCTCTTCACGCCAGAGTGCGGCTGCAGACAGCCGAGCCGAAACCCCCTCTCCCCAGCCCTCTCCGTCCCCGTCCCCCTCCCCGCCATCCCCGTCCCCTCCTTTCAGTTCAGTTGCGCCCACTAGAGGGAGCAGGCAGGATTGGACACCCTCACCTTCCCCATCTTTCTCCCTTGCCCTCCTTTCCCTTTCGGAATTGTTTGCCGGGAGTTGTAGTTTCCTGCGGTTGCTCAGGTGCTCCAACTCTCCGCTTACCTTCAGAACCTCGTCCCTGGACAGCTCCCAGCATCCACGACGGCCCTCGCGAACCGGGAAGAAAGAAAGCAAGCTAAAGAGTTAAGTCCCAAGGATGCTCTTTTCTGGAGGCAGCTGGACTTCTTGGGGGGGTTTTTTTTCTGTGAAGAAGAAAAACAACAACAAAAAAGTCCAGTTGCTTCCAGGAAAAGCAACTTTGGGACAACCGTGACTTGGATGACTGAGAATCTCTACAGGCTAAAGAGGAAGCTTATATGCGGACAATAAAATCCACTTGATGGAATCCATCTTGTGTGGTCTGTATAGTAGTTCTTGATGGCAATTTTACTATACACTTCAGTTAACTCCCCAAAAGCTGCTTTAAACAAAAAAGCCAAGCTGAGGAAATGGTAGGAAAAAGAAGGTCTGGTAGAGAGAAACTGTGTTAAAACAGAACCAAGGATCATGTATTTGATCCATGTGTAAGCTACACATGATCCATAGCAGGAATCTCCAACCTTGGCAACTTTAAGCCTGGAGGACTTCAACTCCCAGAATTCTGGGAGTTAAAGTCCGCCAGGCTTAAAGTTGCCAAGGTTGGAGACCTCTGATCCATAGGATAGGGAAGAGACATTGGGGAAATTGCTGGCTGTCTCTCCATGTTATCTGCAATGTTTGCTTGCAGTGGTTCTCTGGGTGTTGGATAAAAATTGTACTTCTGGACCCCCTGAAAAAAATGATCTCCCTGCCTTACAACTTTTCCCAATTTACTGGGGGAACATCTGGGGATGAAGTCCTTCTGGAAGCACAGCAGAACTAAGGACATGTTGCAGAAAGAAAAGGAAAGGTGGCCTCCTGTGTGTTTCTGACTCAGGAACCCCAGCTGGATTGGATTTGCAGAGAACTAACTTCAACTCAGAACACAAGAGGTCTTTGTGGTTTTTACATGCCTATGTGAGTGCTCACATAGGTTGAAGGAAAGTCTGCAAGAATAAACAAAACTCTTGCTTCCACAACTCAGGCAGTTGACATCTGGCTTGGAGCATCAACCATTAGGGTAGGCAGATACCTATCTCATTTAGAGGCACGTTTACATTGGGAAAAAATGGCTAGAGATAGGAGTGCTGATTGGAATATAGATTTGGATCAGGATTCCCAGGATAACTGAATGAATGAATGAATTCTTGATTGGCCAAGTGTGACTAGACACAAGGAGTTTGTCTTGGTGTATATGCTCTCAGTGCACGTAAAAAGAAAAGATACATTCATCAAGAATCATAAGGTATAACAATATAGTCCTAGGGTACAAATGGGCAATCAAATCATACTAAGAAACAGTCAATATAAATCATCAGGATACAAGCAACAAAGTTACAGTCATAGAGTCACAAGTGGGAGGGGTTAGGTGATAGGAGTGATGAGAAGATTAATAGTGATAGTAATGCAGACTTAGTAAATAGTTGGACAGTGTTGTGGGAATTATTTGTTTAGCAGAGTGATGGCGTTTGGGGGAGGGGAAATGGAAGTGTACTCACAAGGAGATATGTGGGATGCCCACTCTTATTTGCTGCTACCAATTTTCCCTGGAGCATCAAGGCAAGAGGTGGCAATCATTGAGTTCTGTAGGAAGATTCTCTCCCCTCTCCAAAGCTGTATTTGAACAAGTTTCTTTGCATGGCAATAAGTACAGCACTTGCAGTGTGAGCTACCTGGATTATTTCCATCTTTAATTATTTGTGAATGAGTCTATTACATTCTGTGTTTCTAAATAGCTGCTTTCAGCTTTATTTTAATGTCAGGATTTAAAAAAAAAAAAAAAACAAGAACTCATCCAACAATTGAAGTGATTGTGAACCACTTAGGCCACATTTTATTATTGGAAATGGCATATCAATGAAAAACAACAATATTAATGTTTCTCTTGCTATTGTTGCAGTATTGTTTTGCCCTAGTCAGTCTTGGTTTATCTGAGAAAACTAAGCAGGATCAAATCTGGTTACTGCTGGGAGGAAGTCTTCAAGTTGATAGGCCACTCTGAGAAATTGGGAAAAACTTGGAAGTCAGTAAAGGGATGCTCCTGCATTCCTGCCAAGAAAATTACAAGGCTTTACTTGCCCATATCATCCCCAGGAGCTGAGCTTGAGTTAAAGAAAAATTAAATGCAAAGTTGAAAAAATTAATTTGTGATTTATGACTTTGATGATTAAACAGGATAGATTAAAGAAAGAAAAGAATCATGATCAGAGGTGGTATTCAGCAGGTTCTGACTAGTTCTGGAGATAGTGGAAATTTTGAATAGTTTGGAGAACCAGCAAATACCACCTCTGACTGGAGATTTTACAGTCTCCTTCCCCTGCCATGCCGACCAAGCCATGCCCACAGAACCGGTAGTAAAAACATTTGAACCCCACCACTGATCACCACTGACCCCACCACATGATGTAACTTTAGAGAGTGAAGTTAAAGTATAATTGTACTTATAACTACTGTCAAACACACCTTTGAATTTTTTTGTTTTCTATTTTTATTTATTTATTTTATTTTCTTACACTTTTTTGCTTTCTCTTTTCTTTCTTTCTTTTGTCTTTCCTTACTTTTTATTAGTTTATATTAGTTTTCATCTCATTTTTAAAAGCGTCAATAAAAATCTAATTTTTTAAAAAAGAGTTGAATACTAAATAAAGCTTTCCATTTTCCATTTACACTTTACCAAGTTGGCCATACTATTTAAATGTGCTGTTTTCTTTTGCTTTTTAGCATATGATGGTGTATATTTTAGTAAACTCATATTTATTGTTCACTGCTTTGAGTAAATAATTGGAAAACAGAACATATAACTAAAGGAAATTAAGATAGGCTTTATTTACTGCACTGCATGAACCCTGTAATCTTGTTATTCTAAGAAAGCATTCACCCAAGTCAGTTAATTAACCTACCACAGTTATGTATTGCTTTATAATGCAAGATACATTGTTCCTCTTCATATTTTACATAACAGCTATACAGAAGACACCAGTGCATATCTGTGGGGCATCAAATATAACTTTTCCCAACTTCATTGTAGCTGAATGGTTTGGAGAGGCTCTGGAGTGGATTGCTACATTTGTTCTTTTATGAGGCTAATGCTGTTTTCTTTAGTTCTGCATAAAAACATGTTTCTGTCTCTTGAA